AAAAAAAAAAAAAAGATGCATGACTATACCTACACCAGACTTCAGCAAGGCAGAGTCCACCAATCACAGGCTGGGACCACATGGCTCCTGGGGGGACATTAACTCCTCAGTGGGCTTTGCCTGGCCCCACATAACAAAATGGGGGCTCAGAGAGGTAGAGTAAGTTCTCTGAAGGTGCAGAAAAGCCCCTTGGATTCTGTTCTGTGTCCAGCAGGGGCCCTGCTGCTAGCTCTGGAGAGAAGTCCCTTGGAGCACATGGGCCACCCTCAAGCTCCTGCCCTCCAACAGGGCTGGGACTGGCTCTCGCAGAGACACCCCACAGCACCTGTGTGTCATTTGCCAGGACAGAGGGAGGTCTGAGTGCTCAGCTCTCATCAGTCAGCTGTTGGTGAGGGGCAGGACCTTGGGTTGGGGGCATTTGGGAGCCAGGGATCATGTAATCCCATTTGCACCCCCATACCAGAGCCTTGAGCACCCTCCCAAAACAGTTCTTTCTTGACTGGGACGGTGGGGGAGGGCTGACATCCCTGAGCACTCCCCTGAGGCACACGTTATTGTATTTAAACCTTGCAACAACCCTTCTAGGTAGTTGTCTGTATTCCCATTTTGCAGGTAAAGAAATGGGGGCTCAGAGAGGTAGAGTAAGTTATCTCAGGTCACATAGCCACAGGAAGTGGAGCCAGGATTTGAACTTAGGCTGTCTTTCCCCAAAAATCGTGCTTTTTGCATCATGCCACCCACTCTCTATCTCTGTGGGGACATTCTCATGTAATAATAATCAACTATTCTCAGTGCTTGGTCTTTATCCATGCCAGCGCATTTAATTTTCACACTATCCCCAGGATGTAGGACTTATCATTCCCATTTCTCAGATGAGAAAACTGAGGCTCAGAGACAAACAACTCATGAATGGTGGATCTGGAACCCTCACCAGATCGATCTTTTTCTAAATCCTAGGCTCCTTCTATACTCAATCTCAGAGACACCTGTGGGACCTTCCCAACTGAAAAGCCACATTCATTTGTGTCTTTTGCCCTTTGTGTTAGAAATTTGGCCAACTACCTTTGGGTGGATCACTTGAGGTCAGGAGTTTGAGACCAGCCTGGGCAACATGGTGAAAACTTGCCTCTACTAAAAAATACAAAAATTAGCCTGGCACGGTGGCGCGTGCCTATAGTGCCAGTTACTTGAGGGACTGAGGCACGAGAATCACTTGAACCTGGGAGGCGGGGGTTGCAGTGAATTGAGATCCTGCCACTGCACTTCAGCCTGGGTGACAGGCAACAGAGCAAGACTTCGTCTCCAAAAAAAAAAAAAGGCTAACAAATGGGGGCTGCAGGGAAGGGTCTTGTCAGACAGTTGCTCCTCCCCATCCTGATGCAGAGGAAACTGGGCCAGTCAGATCTGCTGCAGCCACAGCTGAAAACTGAATTTCTCTTGGCTGCAGCCTCTGGAGATGTGGTCATAGCCCTTTTTTCATTTTAGCCTGTTTCCTTTCGGCAGGTAAGAGTCATGTCTCTCGGTTATTCTCAGCAGTTTCCAGAGAGACTCAAGCTGCTGCCAGGTAGATTTGGGGCACCCCAGACATTCAGAGGGTCTGAGGATTTTGGAAGTGATTTCCATGTTCAGAAATTCCCAGCTGAGCAGCCCAGCAACTGCCTGATCACAGCGTTGAGCAGGGAGGGGCCACGCTTGGCAACTCAGGTGTAGGTGCTGAGCACGCCGAGGCCAGGTACCTGCCCGTGTCCCAGGTATCCAGGATGCTTGTTGATGCTGCTGTCCCCGGAGCCATGTGAGAGGGTTTGGGGGCAGTTCCAAATGGAGGAGGATGGGCCCTCTGTACCCTCCATCAGTCTGGGGAGGTCTGGAGGACCCAAAATGAGAGGATGGAGTCAGTGGCCCGAATCCCCTGGTGAGTGTGCATGGAGCCCAGGATAAGCAGCAGGGGAGCCTTGGA